TTTCCAAAGACTTTCTTTCAGTACCAGATATTCAAAACAAAAGGCTCATTTTTACTTAAAAACAAAAACAAAAACCGGAAGTGGTGCTGTGGCTCAAGTGGTAGAGCGCTCGCCTTGAGCTGAAGAGCTGAGGGACAGTGCCCAGGCCCAGAGTTCAGGCCCCACAACCAACAAAAACAAACCAACAAAAAAAACCACTTCACCTTTTTTCTACTAAAATGTATAGAAATCGGATTTAGCTGGCTTCTAAGTAGATTATATACAACTTTAAAATGTAAAAACTACGATGTCCAGCATGGATCTTAACAGATTCCCGGCTTATTTACGGGGCTGAGACTGGAATTCTACTGGAGAAATAACTTGTTTCCATCTACGGAACACTGGTTCACCACCGTGCAGCTAACCTGCAGAGACTCGGCTAGTGGAAACAGACGCGGGCCGAAGCAGGGGCGGGTGGGCGGGATGAGGATGGAGCGTAGAAGGGATGGTCATGTTTTCTCTCCCATGAGATCAAATTAACAGGATTAAGAGAAAGAAAACAAAATGAAGTCTGAAGGACCAAATGAGGCCAAACAGATAGAAGACTTCTACAGACATACTCTCGGAAATTTCAAGCACTTGAATCACAAAGGTAGTAATGGATGGATATGATTTGTTTCGGATTTTGTTTTTAAGTTGCCAGACCCAAAAATAAACAAAATATGTGCAGGCAAAACTGAAGAAGCAGCACCGCTAGACGACCCTGAGCCCTTGTCCTCATGCAGTACAGCAAGGGGCTTCCCCAGGGAGAAAGGGGCATTATCATCTCAGTGTCCAGTCCTGAGACGGACCTGCCCTAACATCTTCAAGTGGTTTCCAAGTTTGACAGGTAGAGGGTAAGATGGGAGATGAAATGATTTATACAAACTAAAACCTTTCTTCATTCTTCCTGAAGTTGCTATCTGCACATGCAGAATTCTGACCTGACAGCAAAGTGAAATAATATCCACATTAAGAAACACGGTGCTGAATGGTTTCAGACTCAAAATCATTCACCAAAAAAGGGCGGATCCTCAAGTGCATGGTTTTGAGTAAAGTGAAATTGGAATGTGTGAGGTAGAACAGCTTTCGGTCAGGCCTGCGCGACCCCAGAACTCAGGCAGGAGGCTGCGGCCGGGGGAGCTCGGCGGGGCTGGCGGCGGGGGCTGGAAGGGCGGTCTTAGCTTTGAAAGCTGTGCTTTATGTCTACAATTATAAAGCCATTGGAAATGTGGACTGAGATGCATTGAACAAGCATTGTATTTGGTTCCCAATGTTATCAAATTAGAATGCCAACTATCAAGTCAGTTTGATATGGTATTCTGACTTGCAGTTTTTCGTTTCTAGCACAATCTGCCGGGGCAGGGTAACTATAGCAGGGAGATGACATCGGTCATCACAAGGGACCCAGGAGCACGTGCAGACACACACAGTGAATGTGCACCGCCCGCGTGCACACCTCAGGGTCACTCTTCCTGTGCAAACACCAAAACCACCACCGGCTTTGGGGTAGCTGTGGGTGTCTAGAGCCAAGGAATAGCTTTAGCGACAGAAGTCAAAGGACCCACGCACGGGGTTACTGGCTTCCTTGCTACCACATCAGCTCTGCAAACACGGAAACTGCAGGGCTCAATCAGGGGTGTCAATTGTGGATCTTCCACACCAGGGCAAGGAAACGGGGGCCAAGAGCGGCACCCTGGCTTCGTCTGCTCCCCGTGATCTGGAGTCAGTTACTTGGAGCCTCTTCTGTGTCACTTTTCAAGCACACTTAGAGAAGGACAGGGCTTCAGTAACGAGCAGCAATTCCAAGCGCCCAGGGCTGTTTCCAGCCAGACGGGTAGCTAGCTTGTTAAGTGCAGAGTTTTCTTTCCTACACACTACGTGAGAAAGTATATCCATCTGGCCATTTGTACTAGGAGGCCTATTTTAATTGATTCCTCAAATAGTTCGTGGAAAAAAACGGATCATTACCATCTACATGAAACTTTTCAAAAGATAATTTGCTGTTATTTTATGGTGTGGAAAATGTAACAACAACAAAAAAAATGAAAAGTTTCATAAATCTAGGAGCCGATTTAATTCATTTTTACTATTTGTCAGTATGCTTTGCATTCAGGCTCTGGAACAGCGGATTGAGGTTAGGATGTTTGGTAATGAAGGTTAACCAGGGAAATGCATTCACTTTTCTGTCTGGAGCACTTTTGAGAATTTTATAGCGATTTGAGCTGTTGGTTGGTACCCACTGTTCAAAGACGCCTGAAGGCCAGAACCGGGCGTGCAATTCTGTTAAGACTCTGGGACTGAACACCAGTGCGGAGGAGGGACTATTTAAGAGCACTATTCTTCACTGCTTTCCATTCTGTATGGAAAACTCTAAAAGGTCAGCTTTGGGTTTTAAAATTCAGTTTTCAAAAGTCAGCAAGCCATTTTATGTCAGAATTCTAATTTAGAAATGGGGGAAAAATTGTGAGAGTGAAAACTTGAGACAAGTTCTGGGAGATGAAGCTCAAAATAAACTTTAAATTTTTATTTACAAAGTAAATGGTCATTTCTACAAATGTAATTTATCGACAATTTTTTAAGGAAAAAAAAGAACAAAAAATTAAATTTCCCTTTTACAATGCAGGCAGACAAAACAGAACAAACATGGTGTCGATGGTACACTGGTAAGATACACTAAGTCCAATCAAAGATGGAGGAGCTACGAGGAGGAGCTAGAATGGAAAATAGCTACGGAACTGTATGGGTTCAGGAACACAAAGAATTTTTGAGTCTGGCCTAAATAATTAATTGCCATTGACATCATTTTGCTTTCCCTTTGTTAAAGTACATTTTTCTCAAAGTCAGCAATACCTTGTCTACCTGTCCTGTCTGGGAGACTGAAAGATAAAGGTCTGTAAGAGAGAAGAATGGAAAGAGCTAGAAAGATCAGGATGTTCAGGAACAGAGGGCTGACTTAAACAGCAGTCACTACACCCAGACTAAATTCACCTTCAGAATCACATGAAATACACAGATCTGACCAGCCTCCTTTGTCCCCTCCCCTCTACCCCGCCTCCCAGGGCGTTTCTGTGAGATTCCTGTACCCCCATCCCCTTCCCCCAAACCCACCCACCTCCCGGCTTGAACCCTCCTCTCCCAGGGTTACCGCAAACCGTTATCTATCGAAACAGACAAGAGCGCAGCACCGTCCTGCTCTGTCTTAGAGTCTGGCAGAGCTTCGTGTGTCTGTCTACTACGTGCTTTCTTCCTCCAGTGCCTATGTACTTACTACCTTGAAGCCAATGTAATAAAATCTTTCATTTCCACAGTTCTGAACACTATGATCTGATTATACTACGGCTCTAGTTATAGTCAGGCTTGTATTTTAAAGAATAAGTGCTACCTATATGAATTTAAACATACGATCAGCAGTTCTGTTCGTCTATCATGATATTCACAATTTTAATTAATTTTTCCCCTGGTACCAGAGCTTAAAGTCAGGGCTGAGCTCTTGCTCAGCCTTTTCTGCTCACAGGTAGTATTCTGCTACTTCAACTATGCCTCCAGACTGGAGATAAGAGTCTCATGGACTTTCCTGCCAGGGCTGGCTTCGAACCATTAACCCTCAGATCTTAGCCTACTAAGTGTCTAGAATTACAGGTGTGAGCTACCAGTGTCTGGCTGAATTTTAACTTATTTTTGTTAAGTGTCTGCTTTATAATAAAGTTTAACTGAAATTAGTCTACACTTTGCTCTCAAATAATTGTTTTAGCCTGCAGAATCAGACCTGATAGATCGAACCAGCTAATGTAACTTGGAAATGAAAAGTAAATGGAGACTTAATACATTTCAGTGTGTCTAGAATAAAGCTGGTCGCCTTCCAACGTATTTAAAATACAAGAAAACAGCTAGTTTTACTGAAAGTCAACACAATTTTCAATGTTTCTTCTTAAACTGTGATGAGGACAAAATGGTTTCACTGGACTCAAATCCTATCTCATAATTCAAATATTCGGAGATTCCACATGGGCAGAATCCTAGGACACACGTGTAATTGTGTGTTTTGGTCGTAACTAAAACCTACCTATTCAGATCAAAAGGACACAGAAAAAGACTTCCAAATTGGTGGCAGATAATAACTGTGTATACATTAAGAGATGACCAGTGGATGAATATTAGAAGCACTCACCAGTACTTTAAATTAACCAGTAGATGATTTAGGTAGGATTATTTCTGTGAAAGGACTTTTTTTTTTTTAATCAGTCATGGGTCTTGAACTTAGGGCCTGGGTGCTGTCCCTGAGCTCTTTCATGTAAGGCTAGTGTTCCACCACTGTGAGCCATAGCACTGCTTCTGGTTTTCTGGTGGTTTATTGGAAATAAGGTCTTATGGGGACTTTCCCACCTGGGCTGGCTTTGAACTGTGATCCCCAGATCTCAGCCTCCTGAGTAGCTGGGATGACAGATGTGAGCCACCAGCGCCGGACTGTGAAAGGACTTTTTGTCATGGCAATCATATAACTGCAGCATGTGCATCAAAAACATAACTCTTTTTATAGCTAAGGAAACACACCTGGTAAGTAAAGTTTTATTGGACCATCAAAAAGCAAATGCCCACAAGGCCCTTATTCTAGGTCCTTCATGACTTCTGTAAAGGAGTCACGCGGAAGAGCACACGGGAAAGAAGACTACTACAACAGGTCAGGGCCTGGAAACGGGGAAACTCCGGGCAATGTCAGGCTGTCCCTTTGCTTTAAAAAAAGAAGCTATAACCACACAGCTGTCACACGTTCCAAGGCACCTTTGTGAAGACTTTGAGCGCTAGTGTGGGGCTATGGCTCATCTTTCACTATGCTGAGTGACGTACTGCAAGCCAGCTACACTGTATCATTTCGTGAGTCCTTCTCCTTGCCCTGTGAAGTTTTCTCTGCTAACCTACCTGATGTTTTCCCTATAGAGACCAGCACTTAAAAACAGACTGCAGGGCAGAGAAGACACAAACACTTTCAAAAGTCCTACATTTGGCCCAGCACCATTACAAGCTCCTCCTTGTAAAAATTAGCAGCAAATTCAGCTAGGGAGAAACGCAGGGCAGCTCTGCTTTAAAACACAGAGCTGCCAAGTGTCTTCTGACGCCCACTCTTTCTTCGTGCTCAGATCTCAGACTGAGCCATCGTCCTGCACTTCCGTCACTGCCACCCTGATCCTTTGTAACAGAACAAAGACATTTTTGGAACTCACCTGCTGTAAATTAATTCTTGCTCCTTTTATAGTAATATTTACTCTGGACCAACTGAATGTCTCACGTGGGCACCGGTAATTATAAAAATCGTTTCCTGATCTGCATAGAGGAGCATCCTCAGACCAGGAGTGCTGGGTGAGGTGTCCGCGCTCTTCACCTACATCTCCAAACTCCTACTCTAATGAAGAGCCCCAAAGCAGCGTGATTTTGCACGGCCCAGACCCGGTGCACACGGGCGGGAATGGGCCCCGTTTGGGTTTTTAAGTGAGCAGGCACGCCAGCTTCTCCCACAGGCGAGTCTGGAGGACACGCAGCGGGCGGGTGCCACACCGTCAGGACCCACAGCCCCGCCGCCCTCACCTCAGACTTCTCCAGTTTGCTCTGCGCGTCGATCTGCGTGACAATCTCATTCATGTTGGTCTCCAGCACCATGCCGCCCATCACCATTTCTGCCAGGATATTGTGAACCTGAGGAAGAAGCAGGGGCACAGGGCAGGCTCACCACAGAGGCCCTGTCTTAGGTCTGCGCGCAGCGCAGTGAGGAGCAAGTCAGCCAGCGCCCTCCTCCCGCCTCTCTCCTGCGAAGCTTCCGGCAGCTGCCCCACCTCTGGGAGACACAGGTTCAGTGGGCTCCACATCAAGGCTATCGGAGGGCCTTCCCCGTGGGACTGCTGAAAGGGTTAGACACGGAGGACTGCTTCACACTCAAGCCCAACGTGCAAGGCACCGTGCACGCTCCTAGAAATCAGGGCGCCTGAACAGTGTGAGCCACCGCACGAGAACCTGACTTCATCTGTCAGGAGGGCCACGCCTCTTCTTTCTGTGAAGCATCTGCTGATTCTCTGCAGTGCGGTGTGCTGCCCTCTGCTGGCAGGCCGAGGCTGAGGCTCGGCTGCCCTGGCCATGAACGGGGGGCCTCCATACTGCTGCTCCCCAGCCACGGAGCCCGCGCCCGCGCCAGGGCCCTGCACCCTGCCCAGCAGTGTACGAAGTAAATGAGCAAGAAGGACCAGAGCACTGCGACTCCCTAAAGGCATTCTGGGCCCTGACAAGTACACAGTACTGTGTTCTCTGCAATCAAAGGCTTAGAAGGTGACAATGGAGAAGCTGTACCTTGTCCACATGGAATATTAAATCCAGCTCACACACATTCTCGAAACATTTGTCTAAGGTCTCCACGAACACCTGGGGGAGACAAGAAGAAAACGCTTATGAGAACTGCATACGCGCATTTACTGTACTCAAGGCCAGCTCACACACATTCTCGAAACATTTGTCTAAGGTCTCCACGAACACCTGGGGGAGACAAGAAGAAAACGCTTATGAGAGCTGCATACGCGCATTTACTGTACTCAAGGCCAGCGCTCTGCCACTTGAGCCACAGCACCACGTCTAGCTTTTTCTGAGTAGTTTATTGGAGATAGAGAGTCTCACAAACTTTTCTGCCCAGACCGGGCTTTGAACCACAATCCTCAGATCTCAGCCAGGATCACAGGCATGAGCCACCATGCCTGGGTGAAGTCAGGCAAGTCTTAGCTACACTGAACCTTCCCAATCACCACATTTGCTTTTAGAAACCACATTAAACATGCAAAAGAGAATACACAGCATTACTTTTCAGGTAAACTACTCCTGAATATGTAAGTATATAGAACAAAATCGTGGAAATTACTAAAATGAGAAAGTCTTATTAGCACTATTACTTATTTCACACACACACACACACACACACACACACACACGTCTTCAGATGGGGGAGGGGCGTCCATGTCATCTAAAGCGGCCATTAAGTACTGAAGACCCTAAAAATGATTTATGGAAAAGCCACATCCTTAGAAGCACTTACCTGGTCACACCCTTGCCTGAACCCTCCACTGTCTGGGAAAGTTCTAGAGCCTGTCCTGGGCCCTGGCACACGTGTGCACCACGTGACACTCAGCACGTTATCTGTTCTTGTGGTGTGTGTGGTACCTTTGATGACTGTACACTCTAACTCCTGAAAGCAAGCTAGCTGTCTTTTGAAATGAAAAAGTATAGGCTATGCGAATCCAGGAAAGCATTAGATAAACGCCTAAAACGCGGCGCTGACGTTCCTGGTGTGCTGTGTGTTTTACGTCACTCCTCTAACCTGATACTATTATTAAGACTACTAAAAGTATCCTAATTTCACCAAGACAAGACCTAGGAGCAATGTGGGAAATGGCGCCCTCTTGTGTTAAAAAAGCATAAAGTTTAAAGCCAATTCCAACATAACTCACCTCATACTAGTGTACCTACTCGAGCAACAAGGATATAAAACCTAAAGATTTGATCTCCAGCCTCGAGATTCAAAGTCTAGGGGGAGGTAAATTGTATTTAATTCACTAAAATTATTTTTTTAAGTTTTCATTTTAGTAATTGCAGAAACATATTAATATTAAAAGAATTAAGTATATAGAGAGACACTCAGAAAAATGCCACATGCACATATGTACAGGACCTTCTCTGCAGGCGCAGTGTCAAGAGAGCGCTTTAGGAATCTGTACTAACCGCTCAAGGGAAATCACCCTTGCTGTTTAGGAATGAATTCAGAAGGGGTAAACTGGGGTAAAGCAGGATGAATCTTCAGGACATAAGATTACTGGTGATATTCCAAGAGACCTAAAAGATGTATGCTTAGTTCCTGGCGAGATGTTCTGGAAAGACATCTTGGCTTAGCTCAAACCCACAATGGAAAATTACCACTGAAAGTATTGATTGGCTACACCAACCGAGCTAAGACAGACAAGCTACAATTACGATGAGATCAGTAGCTGGCGCTGTGTCCCCTCCCCTCCCCGACAGGAACCACGGTGTGCTCTAGCCAGCCTCCCAAGATGGCGTTTAAGATGTGTACACAGAACTCCATGGTGCAGCCACTAAACCCCGCAGGACACACAAGGCCCAGGACAATGCCAGTAAGAACAGAGAAGACATTGATAAATGTGTGCAGATAGTTCAGAAAACCTAAGGCTTACCGTAATTCTTCAACTTTTTATTAATTTAAGAGGAACTGAAGAACTTGAAAAAGTCTACCAATGTAAGTACTTAAAAATAAACCAAGGGGGGGGGGTGAGTCAAAACTTTTTGAATGATTAAAGTTGCTAGAAGTGGGGTGTGGCTCCAGTGGTAGAGCACCAGCCTTGAGCACAAGGAGGCTCAGGGACACTCCAGCCTCTACCTCCTAAGTGCTGGCTGGGATTACAGGCATGTAGCACCACACCTAACTTCCTGACTAACAATCATACTCTATTTTTGGAAGACGTTAAATCTGGGGGAAGGGGTCTGGGTGAACATAAATGATCTGTGAGGAAATCTCTGGACTGTATTTGCCATTTTTTTTTTGGTCGGTTGTGGGGCTTGAACTCTGGGCCTGGACGCTGTCCCTCAGCTCTTCAGCTCAAGGCGAGTGCTCTACTGCTTGAGCCACAGTGCCACTTCCGGTTTTCTAGTGGTTAATTGGAGATAAGAGTCTCACGGACTTTCCTACCCGGGCTGGCTTTGAACCGTGATCCTCAGATCTCAGCCTCCTGAGTAGCTAGGATGATAGGCGTGAGCCACTGGCACCTGGCCTTGCCACTCTTTTTTAAGTCTGAAATCATTTCAGAATAAAACATAAAACATCCACCTAAAAGGGAACTCCCCTCTGTGTCCCGTTCCTCCCTTAAATGCAACGAGTCCACACGAAGGAACGATACAGGGAGAACACCAAAACAACCTGAGTGTTTCTATGTTGAAGAAAACACACTTCAGATGGTTTCCAGCTGGAAAACTCTGACCCTGTGAGAGTTCCAAAATGCTTCCTTTACCACCACCAATTCACAACGGGTCCATCACACTCTGGGCAATCATTTTTACAAAAACGCTGGATGGGGGGTGGAGGTGTGGCTCAGGTGGTAGAGCGCCAGCCACTGAATGTGTCAGATATGAGGGTTGAATCCTGGGTCTAGGGGCAAAAAAAATGAGCTGTGCAGGAAGGTAGGGGGTGTAGTACTTGGAGAAGAGAAACCTGGGGGTGATGAACTAAGTACCTGCCCAGACTCAGGCTACAGAGCCAGGACTCGAACCCATACTCTCATCGGACCCTAAGAAGCCAACCACAGGGGCTGGAGAGGCGGCCGCAGGATGTGTAAATGGGGAGCGGAGACCGACCCATCTGATGGCCGAGACTCATGGCTAGCAAGGCGCAATGTAAAGCGAGGTGTGATCAGTGCATCCGTAATGACTACCAACCGCACATTTCCACCATGAGAAGAAGACGGGAAAGCCACCGGGGAATCCGAACTCCCTGACCTCTCCAGTTCTAACTGCTGGCTTTCCACATACCCACAGCCCAGCCTGAGCCTTCAGGAGCGCACGGTCGCTCCCCGGCCCCCAGGGGCTTCCATCCCCGTGATGCCACGGGCGACGCCAGGGCTGGCCAGACGTCCCGCACATCCAAGCACCTCGGAGACACGCACTCCTGGGCCGTAAAGGAAGGTTCTTCAGTGTTCTTTTCCCACGGACAACTCTTCATCACTCTTACGCTCTCCCCGTTAAGCCTACTTTTTATCACACGCAAGTGTCACCGCACACCGTTCATCCCAAGCCATCACGCAAGAAAGTAAAAGATGCATGTCTCTAAAAATTAGTTGGCAAGACAGAAGGACTTCTTTATCGGTGTGTGGATGGCTGAGTCGCAGGGTTGTATATAATACCGTTTTATTCTGTCGGGGAAGAGGAGCCCAGGGGTGTGGAATCCGGGCCCTGGGCTTGCTAGGCTGGCACTCTTACCCCTTGAGCCATACCTCCAGCCCTGCTTTCTGCTGGTTATTTTGGAAGTAAAAGCCTAGAGAAATTTCCTGGCTGGGCTGCCTCAAACCGGGACACTCACTCCAGATCGGCCTAGGAAGGCTTGCAGGGTAGGCCGAGGGGGCCTGGCTACACGCCTTGATTCACGTTCACGTTCACGCTGAGCTGCGATCACCGTTACCTCCATCCTGCAGATGGGACATGCCTGGGTGGTTTTAACTACACTGCTGTCGCTCACCGGTCTAACAACCTCGCAAGATCCACAGGCAGCGTGCATGGGACACACTTGCTTCACATGTGAAAAGTTCCAGTCTATGGAGATAAAATGACCTGGCCAGTCCAATACTACCGTGGATTGCAGAGCAGGGGCTCCTGTGACGCGGGGAGCTCAGTTTACGCACTCAAACACCAGTGAGTTCCTCCGTTTGCTCACTACTTGCGGCAGCCATTGCTACATGTGGTGGGTAAATTCTAACAGGCCTGAAAATTTCCAGCAGAGCTTTACGGCTCCATGATCCGTGTGGCATAATGAACTCATTGAGGGCGATATGAGTGCTTATAAATAACCCAAGCGGCCCGGCATCAATGGTTAATGAGCTGCTCGACTTACTCTGTAAATATTTTAACACTTCCAGCATGCTTCAATGGAAAGGCTTAGTCTAGAAAGCTAGCTATTGTATTTGCTCTGAGCCTCTACCACACCAACACAGCAAACACCACAAATGAAAAAAAAAAAGAGACAGGCCAGGGGCAGTGGCTCACGCCTGTCATCCTACCTACTCGGGAGGCTGAGATCTGAGGATCGTGGTTCAAAGCCAGCCCGGGCAGGAAAGTCTCTGTGATACTCTTATCTCCAATTAACCACTCAAAAACCAGAAGTGGAATGGTGGCTCAAGTGGTAGAGAGCTAGCCTTGAGCACAAAGAGGCTCAGGGACAGCGACCAGACCCTGAGTTCAAGCCCCACAACTGGACCCATCCCCCCCAAAAAAGCAGAATTACTCAATTGGATAACACATTGAATTTACTACTACTGCTTTTCCCAGATTTTACACAAGATACAAAGTCAAGTCTGGAGCAACATATGTATGCTTTAGAAACACTAAATCTTTGCATAAAAATGTAAGCACTCAATTACCATGAGTGGTACCATTTTTCTTACTTAAAATATCAAAACGATACATATATGTTTAGTAACTGTCTGTTGGTGTTTTCTTGATCTGCTTCTCTGAAGAACAGACAAGCCCAGAAAGTTTTGACCTAAAGTCTCCGTTGCCAACTTTCCACTTTCACTTTTTACATTAAAGTTGTTCTGTCTCAAAACTAGAGGATGAATGAACCAAGAAAATCAGTTCTAACTACAGTCTGGCCAGCTGTCTGATGAAGCAGAAGCAGAAGCAGACAGGCAGGGACCAATGCCCAGGTGCTGCAGGTGCAGGGGCAGCTGTCTGACCCAGGCCCAGACTTGCAGCTGCTGCCCCTTCCATCTGAGGTCTCCGGAACATGGGTACTAAGTGGAAATGCCCAGAAGGTCATCAGATGAGAAATACAGACGAAAGGTCGGGGCTGAGCGTCATCCACACACAGGTAATACCCTTGGGTAGAATCGCCCAGCAGGTGAGCGCTAACAAGGGGAAGATACTCAGGACTGAACCCAACTTGTAGAGGCTGGGGGTTTGGGAAACGGAAATGATGCAAGCGACAAGGGCCAGGAGGCCACGGGAGCCGCGGGACAGCAAGCGAGGAAGGCGCTCACAGCAGAGCCACGCTGGCGTCCACGGGGCACCGCAGGGCCTCGGGTCAGCAGCAGCGTGCCGAGAGGCCTGCCCAGACGGGTCCGAGGGAGACAGAATTAGGAAAGTTTGAGATACTCCACTTAGAGAGAATGAGGCAGGGGGTGGAGAAGGAGGAAGAGAACAGGAAGAGAAGGCGGGCCCGTGGGAGCAGTGGCGTGAACCCCGCTGCAAGGGGACATGGCTGGGCCTTGGCTGGGAGCCCGGGATTCAACCCTCCCAGGAGACAAGGCCCGCCACAGGGGCGCAGGCGGAGACAGCCAGCCAGGCGCTGAGGCCTGCGGGAATGCTCTTGGGACTGCTTCAACTTTGTCTGTCATCTAGCAAAGCGACAGAAGCATTAAGAGCCTGAGGCGGGAAGAAGACCCAGCAGACGAGCAGGTCAGGAGCGCGAGGGCCAACGGAGGCAGGAGATCGATGATAGCCGGAGCCGCGGTAAGCCTCGGGGCGGTTAGGCATCATGACCTGACAGTGAGACCCGTCACCATGGCTCTGGTTTTCCTCTGGACATTTCCAGATGTCTGAACAGACAAGGAGCTGAACGCATAAAAGACCAAGACTTCCCGACCGACAGCGGCCCATGAGCTGAGTAAGGAGAGGTAGGGTCAGGAGGAACAAAGAATGAAAAGTGACACACTGAAAAAGTGAGGGGCTCGTTGGGCTCAAAGATTTAAAGGGAAATGGGGATAGGAAGAGGCAAGAGGCAAGGCTGGAAACGCGGCTCAAGGGTAGAGTGCTGGCGAGAGGCTGGGGGGGCGGGGTACGACGCTGACAAAGGAATCAACATCACGCCTAGAAATTAAGTGGGTAGAAAGTCAAGTTCACTGAGGACTGACAGGTTTTCAGATATCGCCCCGTTGAAAGATTCATACACACACACATGCTGAGACTATTAAGAATTGTAACACAAGCAATCCTGGAGAGAATGACAGGAAACCAAGAGCCAAAACTCGTCAGGAAGACACTTCTCGGTGCATCTGGGGATTCTGTAGACAGAGGCACACAGTCTTTGCTGTGGACTGTCTTCTCAAGCACGCTATACAACAGCCTTGGGAAAGAGTGACTGTCTGCCCCCAGAGAGAAGGGTAAGTTTACTTTTGCCACTGGAAGAAAATTCAATCTCTTCCGTCCAAACAACAGCAGCCATCAGGAAGGCAGCCTGGTTCTTCCCGTGTAATTCCACCCGTGTGTACGGTTGCCCTGGGCCTCCCAGAAGCCCTCGCATCACTTCCAGAACTGTGTTTGCTATCAGTAGTCAAGTCCTCTGTCTGGTGTGCCTTCCCTGGGCACTGATGAAACTACAGCGTGTTGCCTTGTCGGCTTCGGATCGAAAGCTCAGACCTTTGTTGGTAACTGGCAAGATCTCCAGTGAATGACCACGAGAGACAAAGTAGTACTAACAGAAGTTGAAGATAAAGAATGTCCTGGAGACTGACACGGAGGCCGAGGAACATCAGGAAGGCTTTTCAGGAAAGAGAGGGGCGTGGTCAGATGTGCACTGACAGAGGTGTGGCCAGAAGTGCACATTACTGAGGCCCAGGAGGCTCCATGGACTCCTGCAGTAACTCACAACAACAAAGAAGGCCCAAGCACGCAGTCTTCACCCGGAGCAGGTGCTTTTCCTACAGCCCGGTGGCACCAGTACTGGGCCGCGGGGCCGGGTATTTGGATGTGGGTCTAGCTGGAGGAGCAGGCGGCTGGGGACATGTCTTAGAAAGGTATGGCTTGCGCTCGAGCCCAAGTCCTCCTTCCGGGCTAGCGCAGGGGAGGCTCCTGGTTTCCGCCACGCCCTTCCGCCTGCCTGGAGGCAGACAGGCCTGGACGCAGTGGAGCCAGCTGACCCTGGGCCAAAAGCATCCTTCCTCCTTGAACCTGACCTACGTCGGGTATTTCAGCACAGCAGCAGAATGCTACCGAAAATTCCCATCCAAAAGCTCCCATAGAATGCTTAGTTCTTACCAGACACAACATCATGTTAAAAAATTTCAGGGCCAGGGCTGGGAAGGTGGCTCAGTGGTAGAGCGCTTGCCTTGCATGCGTGAGGCCCTGGGTTCGATTCCTCAGCACCACATAAGCAAAGAGAAAAAAGCCGGAAGTGGCGCTGTCGCTCAAGTGGTAGAGCGCTAGCCTTGAGCTGAAGAGCTGAGGGACAGTGCCCAGGCCCAGAGTTCAGGCCTCACGACTGGACCCAAAAAAAAAAAAATTTCAGGGCCAGCAGCGTGGCTCATGTGGTAGAATATTTTCCTAGTAAGGAGAGGCCTAAGTTCAATCCCCAGCAATATCTTGAGAGAGAAAGAGAGACAGACACAGACAGACAGACAGATAGACAGACAGATACAGAGACAAAAGATCAAACATAAAAGTTTAAAAATAACAATGATGATAATAATCACTGGAAAAGATACCAGGAAGTGATGTTCGCTCACCTGAATGAGGTCTAAAATGCCAAGTTCGCTTTCTGAGGAGTCCACACAGAAGACAAAATACA